AATTTACAGTTTGCAAAAGAGTGTGAAATGATTTAATTGAGATGGTTCTTTCAAAATTTTAATGCTGTCAGCAATATATTCAAATGGATTGAAGTTGAACTTTCAATCCATTTAAATTGATTGAATGGATTGAAAGTTTCGAAAAAAATCAAAACTTTTTTAAATGATCACTTCAGGACATTTTAAATTAAATCTTTCCAGGATCCTGCATTATTTGCGGATAAAAATGAGCGGTCAGCAAAATTATCTTCAGCAAACTGTATTTTCACTAGTGAAAAAGGTAAATGATGTGAACTGTTTGGTATATTTTCTGCACAAGACGAAGAACTTTAAATTTCAAGTTTCCACTGAAGAATCAGGTTTTTTATTTGTTGTAACGTCCACTTTTTTGTTCTATTATAAATTTCAGATCTTCAATGGATTGGAAGAGTTGACCGCAGTCGCAGTATTCTTAGTAACTCTGTGGGTTAGTGCCTTTTTGTTATCCCATTCATATAAACAGCTATCACTTCAACTAACAGAAGAAATATAAAAATTGTACCTTCCTTTATTGGTCTTTTTTGCAGTTACTTTAATGCTGTATAATATATCCAGGTGAAAGCTCAAGTGAAACTATTAATTTAGTAAAACAGTTCTGGAAATAATCCCTAATTAACATTTAATAAATTAATGCTGTGGAGGAGTGAAAAGCATTGATATATTGAAAGTTACAAAGTAATTATGAATTTTAATTGCAGCTTCGCCTTTAGAACTCGAGAAAAAAGGGAAAAAATATGGTCGGCAGATTGCTGTAACGAACGATCTTCATGAGGTCTGATTTACGATCTTTTCCATTTCTGATTAGGACTGTCTTAAAAAGTTTTACTTGAACCTAAAATTTCTGTGTAGGAGTTCAAAGAATTTAAGAAATCGCTTTCACAGACTTCATATAATGATTTTAAAAATAATATCTATGGCGATTCTTTCGCTGTGTCAGATTTCCAGACTATTGTTTATTGGTCATCTCCCCAGAAACAGTACATATGCAAACATCGTTATTTTTACAGAAACGGAAAATTGCATGGGGTAACGTTGATCAAAGTGCAGCTGCGTCGGAAATTGTAACTGTGAAAAGTTCTTTGACTGATGACAAAACATCTGCTAGTCCGATGCAAGTCAGCACAGCAAACTACATTAATAACATGGATATAAGCAAAAGAAGCTTAGCAAATAGTGAAGCAGAATTGTTTAAAGAGGAAAAAAAGGTAATTGTTATTTTTGGCTGTCTCATAGAAACTTTCTAGAAAGTTGTATATACACCACTATTCGAAACTAATCAATAACATCAACAAAGGAGATCTAACTTCATTGTCATTATTATTGCTTAGTTTTGCATAATTATGAGATTCCAGCCCTCTTTTGAGGCAGAAATTAGCTGCTACATTTTCTTAAATTTTTATCCTGCATTAAAAAAGCTAATTTCTTATGTTACTTGTACTTTAAATCAAGTGAAAGTTTACATTTTATTAATAAATAAAAGGATGTTTATGTTACAGACAAGTAGCTGGAACTCAAGCAATATATTTACTGCAAGCGATAATTCCAAAATAAAAGAGGTGCAGAAAATTCCACCGACAAATACGACGATTAAGTATGTTTGACAAATATATTCTAGTGCTTTCCTAGATTTGGTAAATACGATTTAAGAAATGCCAGAAACATCTTTGAAAAACTGTGCTATCTTCACGCTGAATATGACGATATCCGTAAAGATAATTTGTGGATATAATGATTCATCGCTACAAAAAGATTTGCTCTATAAAAGTAAGCGATTTCTATTAATTAGTTATTTTTGCAGTACGCAAAGTGCCACTTCATTTGAAGCTGAAGTTGTTAATATTAGTAGTTGTTTGTCATTTTTGGACGAAACGGAAAACATACCCATGTCGAAGAAATTTTCAAATGAAGTTGAAGACACAACTGCATCAAGCAGCGCGAGTGAAGATTCGGTTAATATCAGCAGCGTAAATTCGCAGATTGAACTGTTAGATAATATTGGAGCAAATGTTAGTCAAATTTCTCAACTTTTTAGTTTATTTTTCCTTGTTGTTAAAGAATCTGAAACGACTACTTATCGATCATCACGTTGGATGCATCGATTTGCAGTCATCAAATGTTTCGAACCTATTTCCAAACTATCGAGAATAAGCAAATACACAAAAGTTTCTCTATCAGATTGAGGGAGAAAGTTGCAAACGATGTAGAGGAGGAACGAAAAAGAAAAATTGAGGGGAAGGTTGTTATCATAGAGTCGAACTATTTTATTTTTAATTTAAAGTGATGCAGAAGTAGTGAAACAGTGTTTCTCGTCTGACCTCCTTCTAGAGTTTGTCTAGTCACAGTTTAATTTCATTGATTAAAATAACTTTCGTGGTTCAAAATATTGCAAAAATAATGATTTATTTACTTGAACAGAGCTATAAATGCGAGAAAACTGATGGGAAATGATAAATAATCTAAGTGATAATAAGCTATGTAATGCTAACATCAGCTTGTGATTTATATCTATTTTATCGTTATATATTACTGAAATTTTGTCATACTATTCAATTTGCATAAGCTGATCATTCTCTACAGATAGATTTGTATTGTTTAACTCATAGCTCCATTATCTGTCATTAGTGTGCATGGATAGTTTTCTTTTTTTCATCAGTTAAGCTTTAACCCATTCTTCAACAGGACACTATTAATTTAAATTCATTCCTTAATAATTTCAAAAAATCGAGATTGTTAGAGCAGGTAATTGTTCAAGAACACGAAAATACAAAAAGATGGGTTTTAATCAGCTATTTTATGGAAGAATATTAATTTTTTTCTAGGTTACCGCAAATAAGTTTGCTGAAACGTCAATTCATGATGTTTCTGAAGATGACGTCCAAATTATTGGTTATTTTGCTCCATCGCATTCCACTTCAACATCAAAGCCAGCGCAGGAAGTTAGCTTATATTAGCAATATTCAGCAGTTATTTTTGTTGCATGAAAGTTTTTTCAATTTTTTTTGAAAAATCTTTTTTCGTAGTTTAGTTCCTAAAATTTAGCAGTGAGTTTTTTTTAATGAAATTGAGGAAGAAACCATTGAAAATTCGCTTGCTTTCAATGAAGAGCATTGACTGATTGCAGGTGTAACATTTTAGTGAAATGAATTAAAGGACAGATTATTTAGGAATCGGGATCAGTTATACATCATGAAAAAGAAGCAATGTTTTTTGTTTTCAGATCCCAGAGACCTTATCGAGAATGGAAATGGAGGTGCAGTTAGAGAATTTGAAGGTAATTTATTTTTCAAGTTATATTCATGTCTGTATTGTGATAGATATTTGATTTTAGAATCTTAAGCGAAGCGCGAATCTATCGAAACTGCCAGATTGTGGGCGGCGATTAATAGAAAGAATTGAAGTATTGCAAGATAAATTAAATAATCTGGATGCATTTGAAAAGGACGAAAATGTTGCTCCAAATGGTTTGGATTTGGATTATTTTAGCAGTATAAAATGATGAAATGTTGATATTTCAAAATTTGCAGTTGATAGGTTTTTATAGTAACATATTAAGCTTTGTATTATTACTATAAAATTTGAAGCACTCGAGTGATAGAAGTCATGCTCGTTGCTGCCATTCTGCAATAGACTTATAAACTGATTTTCAAATAAGAAAATGCTAGAAATCTTATAGCACTGAAATTGATTTTAATAAATTTTGTAGTAACAAAATGAATATCTAGAGAATTATTATCGAAGAAAATGAAAATGTTGCTAAGAAAAAGTTCGAAATTTAAATAATGGAATATCATCCTGTGGCGTGCTAGTTCATGATTCTTTATTTTCCTATAATAAATGGATGACATTATGAAGCTTAGGAAGCAGAAGTTGTACATTTTTTAATTTTTTGGTAGATCATATATGATTTTACAGAGGTTACAGAAAAGAGAGAAACTGATATTGTTCAGAAAAAGCAAAGACCACCAATCATTTCTCCTCAAATTATGGCTGGAGGTAATTTGTTATAATGAAAAACATAAATAGGAATTTCTTTAAAACCTAGATGCCTGAGCCTTATGAGGAAAATTGAGTTCATTTTTACTTTTGATTCTTCATTCATAGGACATCGGCTCTTTGACGGAAAAACGGCAGATAATCGAATTTGCCTGGCCAATGCAGTTACTGGACAAGTTATTGTTCAGATGCACAGGTAAGTTAGAACTCTTAATAAAATTAGTAGATATTTTCTGTTAATTTTTTTTAATCGAATAATTTGAAATTCAAAAGTTTGACTGAAATAGCACTATATATTTCACTTTCTACGTATTTCGCTAAGTTTTTTAGTTCACTTACAAATGCCCCAGAAAATGTGGGAACGGACACACCAGCGAATTTGCTTACGGAATTAATGCCGCATCAAAAAGAAGGTCTGACCTGGTTGCTGTGGCGTGAGAGACAAGCGTTACCTTGTGGAATCCTCGGTAGCTATAGTTTTTATTGGGTTTTAGACCTAGGTTTCGTAGCTTCATCTTCGATTTATATTTAGTAGCTTCATTTTCGATTTATATTTGGCATTTAAATATAATTTTATTTAAAGAATATGTTCAAAGGTTTTTTCTTGTATTACATTAATATCAAGAATTTCAAGTGGTTCACTATCTAATTTCAGCTGATGACATGGGCTTAGGGAAGACATTGAGTATAATTTCACTTATTGTAAATGTCAAGGAAAGGCGTAAACATGAAGAAGTGATGGAAGGATTAAACAAGAGAGTTACTAAAGGTCGTTTTTAGTTCTATTGGCTTGTAATTTTTGGATTTGATATCTGAATACAAATTTATTTTGAAATGAATGATTGAATACAAATATTGGAGGATTATTGCTTTCCGTAGATCACACATTTTTGCAGGACAAAATGCTTTTTACCTACAAGTAAAAAACATTTTTATAAGATTTTTATTTATTTAACTTTGAATATAGGCAGTTCTGTAAATAAATACTTCCTTGTCATTGTGACTTTTATTTTTAGGCGGTTTAATTCCATCCAGAACTACACTAATTGTCGCTCCAGCTTCATTAATCTTCCAGTGGGAAGCAGAATTTCAAAAACACGTGAAAAGTGGCTTTCTTTCTCGATATTTGTTCCATGGACCTAAACACAAGCGCGATATAAGTGCAGAATGGTAATTTTTCACATCCGTATTTTAAATTTTATTGACTTAATATTAAACTAAATTTCGAAATATATTATTTTTTAGTCTTGCACGGTATGACGTTGTTGTCACTACATATGGAATTGTGAGCAATGAATTAAGCGAAAAATTTACTGCAGTTAATGTTGATGATGAAAAGAGTAGTAGTGATACTAATAGTTTTCATGAAGAAAAGAATGGAAAAGAAAAAGGAAGGCGAAAGGTTTGTCATAACTCCAGAATTGTTTGACACTTATTGCTGAGTTCATAGATTTGAAAGATACTGAAATGAATTTGTTGAATTTTAGTTTTAAAAAGCATAATTTAAATAAGTAAGAAATGTCTATTTCAGGTTTTGAAAAAATCAGACTCAGTTCTCACGAAGATAGCGTGGGAGCGTGTCGTTCTGGATGAAGCGCATCAAATCAAAAATAGAACATCATTGATTTCTAAAACATGTTGTAAAATTCCTGCTGTGGCTCGATGGTGCGTTACAGGCACACCAATACACAATAATTTATGGGATTTATATTCTTTGATAAGGTTTAAACATTTTTCAGATATTTTCATTTATTTTATTTTTTGGATGAAGTACCTTTGGTGATCAATTCTCTCTCTAATTGGAATGTATTTTCCTTTTCTTGACTATATTGTAATCCAACACAAAGTATTTTTTAATGTTAAAAATTGTTTCAGATTTCTGCGTGTGGTTCCGTTCAGTGAGGAGGCTATTTGGAAAGAATATATTATGTCAGCACGTATGTTTGTTTTCTTGACGGTTCTTCTTTAAGTTTTTAATTTATATATTTTCTATTTTACTTATGCTTTCTCAACTTGAGTTTCGGAAATTTATTTCCAGATTCATCATCACAAAGATTAAATACCTTAGTGAAAGGGTTGCTATTGCGGCGAGAAAAGAATCAGTTATGTGGAGAAACAAATAAACCGATTGTATCTCTTTTAATTATTTTTTTTTCTATTGCAAAAGAGAGAGTTCGTAGTAGAAGCATGCTAAGTCTTGCATCCAGAGACTTTTAAAGCAAATTTGGTATTCAAAGATTTTGAAATCGAACTAGATATTTAGCAATGCATTCTCGATATCGTCGTCAAGGGTTGGGAATCGCTACTAAATCTGTTTTGTAATAACTCAGGTTTTAATAAAACCGGCAGAAACAAGTTTATGTAGTGGAAAGTATTGAATTGATATTTATATAATACTTGGATTTCTCTATCATTGCTCTATGGACGCAAAAAAGATGAGTTTTTTGTCGCATTTGAAGTGTTAAAAATCAGAATCAGTTAAGACCGTAAAACCTCATTATGAAGTCATGGGCAAAGCTAATAACTCGAAATGTGATGGTATGATTCAAAAATTTCCTTAATAGAACTTGACTAATATATTTTAATTTTTGTAGGTTGATTTAAGGCCAAGAATGTATGAAGAAGTTGTTATGAAACTTCAAGGGATCGAAAAAAAAGTTTATGATTATATGTTTCAGATTTCAAGGTTAGTTTCATTAAAAAAACTTTTTTGGATAACTACTGCTACTTGTTATAATTTCAGAAAAATTATTCAAAACTTAATCATGATGGCGATGAAACCATCATTATCATATTTTGTCGTTTTAAAATTAGTATGTGCATGTGTAATGAGCGGGTTTTTACTCAACAGTGACAAGTGAGTTTTTTAATTTTTCAAAAACTTAAAGGCAAAAAGTAAAAGAATTAATCAGAACAAAGGAAGAAAGAGAACGAGATCTGTATGGTATTGAAACGACCAATTTTACTAATCGACTATCGAGGAATCCATTTTTAGGTTTGTGCTATGTAAATATTATTGATCTTGGCGAGGCATAAAATTTCATATAATAGTGCAGTACCTTCATAAATTGTATTGTTTGAATTATATTTAAATCAACGAAATATTATTATATTTGATGCTTGGACCTCGTTTTGGAAGTCCAAGCATCAAATATAGTAATAGATGTGACTATGAGAAGAAAAAGATGAAAATTATATCTACAATTCGTGTTAAGATGAATTTAAATTGAGTTATTTGAACCAAATATTTTCAGAATAAGCAGATTTATCAGCAGTGATTATGCAAATATTTTTTTATAAAATTTATTATAGGCGGTTCACGAGCGATTCGAAACAACGATAATTTTCAAACAATGAGTTGTGTACTAACGTTACTAATGCGTTTGCGACAAGCTTGTGTACATCTCTCACTAATCAACCAAGTACTAATTATTTAGAATCTGTTAGAAAATATGAACGCTGAAATAGTGGATGTTGTCAAATTAACATTGAATAAATGTCGTCAAATAAAAACTTTTGCAAATTAACGGAATATTTCCAGGTGGTCGATATGGAAGCACTCCAAACATTAGGCGTTGAAGAGGATGAAAACGCGGAAATGTTATCGAAGTGTTTCTCAAATATGTCGCTTTTGGATGAACAAGCCCTCACTGCGAACTTACTGAATGACGACAGAAATGAACATGTAGAACAGCTCTTTCAGAAAACTTTTATTTCAACGAAGGTAATTGATCGGTCAAGCTTCCAATCTACATCATCAGATGCCGCAATCCTTGAGTCGCAATTTAAATCAATCACTTCCCAGTTTAAGTGTCTTTTCTTGCTGTACATTGAATGTAATTCTATAATTTCCTAATTTCTATATTCATTGAAAATCTAGATTTTAATTTTCAGATCAAGAAATTATTTGAACATGTGGACTATGCTCTTTCTTGTGGCGATAAATGGTAATATTTGCATGAAATTTTTGCGATTTTCTAGCCACAAAAATCAGTATTTTAGATCATAGTTTAGAGTATATTAATGCTACCGAGACTGACTATCTACTACGCTCCTTCCTGCTCAAGCGACTGTTGTTTTCTTGGATTATATCAGAATTCATTATAATTTTTATTAATTGTGCATAAAATTCTCGTCATAAAGAGAATTGGAACTTATAAACATGCTTTGATGTCTGATATCTTTCAGTGTTATTGTAAGCCAGTGGACCAGTCTTTTGAATATCCTGGAGTATCATTTGGGACAGAAAAAAATTTTATACACATTTATTAGTGGAAAAGTTTCGAGCAAGGACCGGTACTTTTATTGCTGTTTTCTTCTCTTTTTAAATCTGAAATTTTATTAGTATTTTTAGATAAAAAAGGAATCTCTTGTATATTTTTATTTTTTTATGTTTTGTATTTTTATATTAAGTCTTCCATTTGCAGGTTTTCTCAGTTAGTTTTAAAATTTTCGTAAAGTTACACTTAACGTTTTTGTTTTTTCATTTTCTTATTTGATAATTTTGCATCAAACTTCTCTTCTCTCATATATTTTTTGATTATGTAATCAGAAATATTTCAGACAAAGTAGAGCTAATAGCTTTAATAAGATTGATAGTGGGCCTCGTGTTATGTTATTATCATTAACAGCCGGCGGAGTGGGATTGAATTTAGTCGGTGGTAATCATCTATTCCTCGTCGATTTGCATTGGAATCCTGCCCTTGAACAACAAGCTTCTGATCGCATTTATAGGATTGGGCAAACGAAGAATGTTTTTATACACAAGTCTGGATTTCTCAGAAGTTATTAAAACTTAATAAAGTTTGTATATTCTGGAAAATCATACATAGAATAAAGTTATTAGTCAGCATTGGATGTTAATTTTTATGAATTTTCAAGTTTTATTTTTTGAAATATTTACATGAATTGGGTAGAATTTTCATAATTGATCGTGTGGAATTATGACAAACCTTTCATTATGTCGTGCTCTCTCAATAAACGCACTGATTCCGTAAGAATACCGGATTAAAGGGATCTTTTTATAGGCTGGTGTGCCTTGAAACAATTGAAGAACGTGTTCTGGCATTACAACGAGTAAAGCAAACTTTAGCAAAGGATGTTTTAGAAGGGTAAGTTTTATATTCTAAGGTTTGTTGCATTAGAAGCTATTACAAAATCCGGTTGTTATTATAGCTGAGGTCATATTTGTGAACTTTTTTAACTGAAGTATGCTGCCGGATCTTAAACTGCAAAGAGTTTTAGTGTATAATAAATTTTTTGCAGTTATCTTGTCCCAATAAAAATTCTGTTATCGAAGAGTTCTACTGTTATTCTCAATTGATTTAAAATTTCCTATATTTGGATGAATTAAATGATGTTGTTTTTATATATTGATTTGGTACTCTGTAGATGGCTTTATTAGAACTTAACTTGAACTTAAACTGTATTAACCGAAATTGTAACATATACAAATCGTTGTTTCTTCATACTAAATTTTGTAATTTTATATGTAATGATATCCTTCAAATTTTAGTTTTCGAATTACATTCCAAATTTGTTTATGCATATATCAAAGAAAATTCCTTTGAGTGAAACATCTAAAATCTCCATAAATTTTTTGGAGCATTTCAGAGTTGCATCAAAAAAACTCAGTAAATTAACGATTGCTGATCTGAAATACTTATTCGATTTGGGTCGTCCGCATAAGGATTTGGCAAATTTTGCTGCTACGGTTTATCCACCGAAATTCATCTCATCCTCAGCAATTTCCAGTACTAATACAGGATCACTTGTGCAACAGTACGAAAACAAGACGAATAACTGAATTTGAAAATTGAAATCTTCATTTGCTCACTCTATTATTTGTTCATATTGCTTTCATTTTTTCTGCATTGCAATTAAAATTTTTAACTTATATACTTCAAGGTGCTATGTATAAAAAGTATTCGATAGCGTGCTACATGTCTCCAAGTCTAGCTTAGACTAACTATAAGCGAAATTATTTCCAAACTAATTTTTCTTAAGTCTGTTTCATTTTTATTATTCTTTCTTTCACAGTGATATACTTTATGCATTCATCCTTGTTTTTTGTTTAGTGTGATGAATCTGAACGTATATATTTGTGTTTCATAAAAATCACTACAATTACAAAACATCATGTGTGGCAGTATGAGAAGGTGCTTCACCTGATATTTAAATCTTTAACGGGAAATGAAGGAAGCCGAAGAAGTAATGTTACAATTTTCCGGAAGTCTTTCAACAATAATTAAAACTGTCCAATTATTTTGATGATTTGGAAGTTATGATTATAAACCATTCACGGTTGATTGAACAGTTAACAATTCTAGCTTCTAAAATAGCTTGTGGTTGAAAACTTGCCTAAGCATGATTGGTTTGTTGGGTCTCTCACAACTTCAAGAGATACGACTCGTGAAATCTCGTCTACACTTGGTAAAGTATATATTATTAAACAGTTCTGCTAAGAAACAATGGCAAATGACATTTTATTATGAAAAGAATGTTTTATCATATAAATACTTAAATATTGAAAAAAATTTGCGAATTGAGAGTGATGTTATCCTGAAGAAATGGTGCGTGATGTTTACATCTAGGAGTGATAAATAATATAAATCTATTAGATTTTAATCAGATTTTATGAACTCTGACCAAGTTTGATTATTACAGCGTAAGGTCTTTTTTTTCTTGATGTATATCTTTTAAGATAACGCTGAAGATTAAATTCAAAAGTCGGAATTTGTTATAGTTGATAAAGATATGTCTGTAATTCTATTTGTTATAGCACGGGAATTGGTTGATCTTTTCTTGATTTTATACGAAGTTTTTCAGGAACGCTATCTAAGCGTAGCTTTACTTGGGTAACCAAGAAAATGATAAATATGCTAAACATATAAGAAGACTTACATGCAATGAAGAGTACGAAACGAAAAGATCACAATATAACGCAACTAATCCGCTATGCAGAGTCATTGGATTCAAAGGTATCCGAGGATTCTCTAGAAGCATTGCAAGGCCTGATTAGTCAAGGTATTACTTCGATTTTTTCAATAACTCGGTCAAATTAAGAAGAACATAGCAATAAGTGCAAAGTAATTTGCTGTAAGAATAATTTCAAATTAATTGAAATGTTATATATTACGTTTTTAAATAATGATATGGAAGATATTAGACGTGTAAAATTATATCTCTTTCTTATACATAAAACAAACGCTTTTATGAAAAACTGATCAGGTTGAATTACTCTGATAGCTCCTTATTTCCTATTTTATTTTTTGAACAATTATCGTAAAAATTCTCTTCAACAAATATTCAGAACAGAAGAGCAGAAACTAAGTGTAATATATGTTGGTAGTTAAGTGTGACTGTGGATTAAAAAATGATCTGATTTCATTATTGTTTCAGGAGAAGGTATTAGTCAACTGGTAACTTGCTATATACAAAATCGATCATCTATAGCAGTGGAATTACTTTGTAATGTTAAGGAGCCTTATGACACGGCAAGTTTTATTTTTGCAATGAAATTGAACCAAAAAAAGTGATGCAAGATACCAAGCAAAAATATGAATTATGTATTTTTCTGCAAAAGACTTTGTAAGAATTGTGCAATAGAATTCAGAATTTTTTGTAGGAATTGTGCAATAGGATTCAGGATTTTTTGGCCAAAAATACTCTACCTGTGCTTACACTTCTCGGACAACTAATACAAAAAACCCCAAGTTGGTTACCAAAGCTTGCTGAGCATTCACTTTTTGATCATATCTTGAAGTTTATTCGGGTTAGTATCTTTTTAACAATGTATGGAAAACTGTTCTGAAGGTAAACGATGTGAGATTTCTTTTAAGTATAGCTGCGATTATGTTTCAAATATTATAATTCAGAAGAAGACTTTCAATTCTGAATTATTTACAAACCTTTATTTCAGAAATAATTTTAATGATAAAAATAATAAAAAGTGTATTTGTTGACTGGAGATTTCAAATTGTTATTTTTGTAACTCAGAGTCTGATAAGGAAAATAATAAGCAAATGTGTGTATATAATATTTGACAACTTCAAATTAAAATCTGAAAGATTGAAATCGATTAAAATTCTTTTTATAGCCATCTGAGAACATTGTTGTGGTCGTATCCGCGATCCTTCTTGTATCCGCCTTGCTTCCACATTTTGCTGGTCCAAAAAAATCGATATTGCTGAACCTATTTCGTCTACTAATTGTAGCCTGTAATATGCTTTATAACTTCAAGAAATTATTTGATCAACAGAAAGCAGATGTCATTGAAGGAATATATGTGTCACATCTGTATAGTGCAGTAATCCAATATTTTATCGTTTTATATGGAATTTATCCTGCAACTTTAGTAGAATACTTGAGGTAGACAATATCTAAATGAGTTTTATCGTGATTAATTCTTTTTTTCTGTCTTTGTTGCATATATTATCTTTTCCATATCCTTTTCGAAGTCTTTTTGATAGCGATTCATTTTTTACAGACGATCAAGGCCTAAAAATGGAACGAAATCTAAACGAGGATTAAATTTTATATATAGTATATATTTTACATTTCTCCTATAAAATTCAGAAAAAAAAATCATTCTTTTAATCAAAAATTTTTCAGACTTTTTTTTTCAGAAATCATATAAATGTTGTGGATGGTCGAGCAATGCATGTACTTAAAGCATTATTTTCTGCTGTGAAATTCCATCCGAACATATTAAGTGCTACTGTTGAACAGGTGAATTTTTTTGGCTGAAGAGTGAATCCAGTTCATAATAGCTACATTTAGATAATTAAAATTAAATTTTTATCTGCTCAAAAAAGCAGTTTAATATTTGTTCACAAACTTTTGTCGTCAACCATCACTTTTTATAGCAATGATTGATGAAAAAAAAAATTACATTTTTACTATAAAATTCAGATCATTCTTTTTACCAAAATTTTAGAACTAGATTTTCTTTTTCAATGTAACGTGATCCTGTTCTTATTTTTAAGGCTTGCTTTCAGTAGTGAAATAAATTTCCCCGTGAGCACTACTTATCATTTCTGTTGTTTTTTGCTTTCGGGATGCATCATGCTTTTCTTATCATTATTCATAAACGCATTTCCAAATATATTTAAATTTGTAGGAACTAGATCGAAATCGCTGGAATCAGCGTGAAGCGCACGATTTTTTAGCTGATTGTCGACACGTGCTTGTACGGCCGGTCTTACCAGCATTTGTTAAAGGTTCTGTATGTCACTTAAGAGATTCGTGTATTATCACGAGGGATTCCGTTTTTTTTATTTAATATTTTGCAGTGCTGAACAGTGTCAAATGTACTATGGACTGTAAAATTTGGTATATTCTGTTTCGTTTTTATTTCTTTGAAACTTTAGCTATTTTTTCCAGAATTATGATGAACTTAATTTTATCTATTTGAAGCATATCTACTTTTCAGTTGGCAAATTAATCTCGTCGAATCACACGTTAGAAACATCGAGTTCAACATTGTCCTACGTATCACAGCTACCAGATCTAAACGATTTATTCCCAACAGAAACAGATTCATCATCATCCAGTTAATTTATTAAATTCAAATTTAGTGATATTTTCGTTTCCATTACTAGTAGTTCTGTTAGACAGTCTGTTGCTGTTCTCCGCAACCTTTGAATCTGTATTTCTTATCACTTATCTCTTAGAATGAAAAATCTGAAATGAAGCAGTGGTTATAGACATTTATTATCTTCTTCATTTTACTGATTATTTTTTATCACCTTGTGATCTGTTCACTTTATTCTGTGAAATTTATTTGATTGAAATTGTTTTTATGATACTAATAGACTAAGGATTTTCTCAAGAAATAGAAATAGCAGTTGTTTATTTTTTAATCTTTGCTGAATAAATTGTCATAAATATCAAATTTATTCTTCTCAGATTCACTGGGTACTTCCTTCGATCATTGGAATGAAGAAGATGCTTGGCTAGAATGCGGAAAAAGCGATTCGGATATTCTTCCGGACTCAAGATCTGGTTCATTAGATAACCGTGTTTCAGATATAGTCATAACTTTTTCCACAGGTAAGCACTTGTTTCTAAAATTTTTTGATCTTTGTGACTGTGAGAAAAACATGTATTTTCGATATGTAGTTTTGCGAAAAAAGATTTTTTTCGACTGTCATCACTAATTCTCAAGAATTTTTGAGAATACTTTTCATGTAAAGAATCAAGTACACGACGAGCAACAGCTGGTGCAACAGATTCGAAACACGTAAGACGATCCTCCTTGACACAGAAGTTTAATGATTTTATTCGAAGACGTGTAAGTTTTCTCATGTCTTTCATTTTGTAATGCACAGCTTTGACTTGAACTACTTAACATATGAGTGGAGCTCGATTTTTTAACAAGGGAATAACACATAATTTTAACAATTGAATACTCATGAATGATCCCATAGTAATATATATTACTAATTCAGAAGTCACGAACTCTGTCGGATGAACCGTTGCTTCATAGCTTACCACTACCCAGAACATTTCTGGTTACAGCAAGAGATGGAACAATAAGTAATGAACCAATTGAAGAAATTTTTGTGCGCGAAGATGTCCGAAAACGCAGTGATGAGGTTTTTATAGCTTTTCTCTCTCTCTCTTTTACTTCAATTTCTTGAGATTTTCTTTTTTTGCAGTTGGTTAGAAAGTTCACAAACTGTACTTCAGAAGTTTTAAAAGTGTTAATCTTCATTCAAATTTGCTAATATTTCTTCATATCAGATTTAATTACAGACTGGACATATCGAAGAAGGTGTAGATGCTCGAGAAATTTGTTCACCTTCTATCCCATTTTCATCAATACAGCCTTCAGAAGATTCATTTGCAAATACTCCTGCAACAATTGTACCGCTGGAAAGCATGCATCAGCCACAATCCAAAGCGTTTGTTCCTTCGGATGCCTTTGGGAATCGCGAAGTTGAAATTTTTTCATCAACGAACAGTGCAACAAGCGCTGGTGCTGTCAAAACTTTTCCGCAAGATATCGATGCTGATAATACAGAAACTATTCGTTACCGAAAGGTTTTTTATTTCCTTCACAATGGGAAAATTGAAAATCAATATAGGTTTCTAGGTTAAGTCGAATTATTCCGGACACTGAACTGCAATGCCAAAGTAAAATAGCTTAAAATATGAACTAAATTTTCATCGTACAATAAGATTTGAAAGTTATGAAATTTAGGCATATAAATGAAGACATGACAGCAAAATTTAGAACAATATAGGAAATATGCTTGATGTCGCATTGAGGATTGAGAGTGTTACACTAGGCAAATTAGTTTTGTGTGATGATAAGGGAGTTTTTTTAGATAAAAGAATTTAAAATGAATGAAGCCAAAGGACCGGGCGGAAGCATTTCTAATGAGAGCGCGAATCGTTTTTCGGTAACTTCGTTTTTTCGAAAAGTGAATCGTCAACGATTCATAAATGGATGTTGTCATAAAAAAAGTGAAGTAATTGATTTCCTTGGTCATCTGGGGAATTTCTCGCAAACGCAATTGTTAGTTTTGATTTGTTTGTTAAATAGGTCTGTAAGTATTCATACTATGAATTATAATAAATATTTATACTGTGAATTGTAGCTATAAATTTCAAACAACCTACTCAAGCCTACCTTCATTCTTCAGGCTTCGTGCTTTTTCTTGTCCTGATCTATTACATGTTCCGGAATTGGGTGATAAAGAAAAAATATGCAGTTTGAGTGATTTGAAGCAACGGCAGTTTATGGTCGCAAGAAATATGGAGTTCTCTGTTGAAGATATTGAAGAGCTAATTGCTCAAAAATATCCTTATCTTCCTTTTCTGCAAACTCTTCCTTTTTCTCTAATTGGTTAGTTTGTTCCAGTTTTGTTTATTTATTAATAAGGCACTCCAGCTGTTTACAAAAGCTCTTTACAAAATTTTATTAATAACAATAAGTTGTCGTAAACAGAAAACTTATATCCAACTTTTTGAGCTTTCAGGATAATTTGCTGTCTTATTTTTTAAAGACTATAGTTTACAAAAGTTTTTAAGATGAAGAAAACCTAAATGAAGAATTGAAATGCGAGCATGAACGTACACGTCAAAATTACATAGAAGCAAGTGCTGATTATCATACATGCTTAAAACAGCTTGGCTTAGCCGATCGTCTGCCAGCAACAATTTATGATGATATGTTTCAACAACTTAAGGGTCTTTCGGCTGAAACTCAAGTTTATTTTTGATTTTTTAATTCACAATTTCAATGGGAAGTATGAATGCGAATTTGCTTTATTTATTAGAATACATTCTAATGTTGATTGCATGAATATGCATCTATAAAGGTTTTTCATTAACAGCGAATGCTTTATTGTTTGTATACAATTAGGAAGGACATATGATTTCAAATTCCTTCTACATTTAATGTCTGAATAAACAGTTCTCTTGTTTTCAGATAAAAATTCTCAATGCCCGACTGGCACTTGTTAATCAGCATTTATTGTACGAACGTTGTGGAAGATTGCTTCATGCCGAACGAAATCGTCGACTTTTTGGTAAAAAAAAATTCGGGAATTAAATTTTCATTGGACAACAAGATTTGAAAGTCATAAAATTTAGGCATATAAATGAAGACATGACAGCAAAATATGTAACTTTTGAAGATAATTTTTTTTGAAGTTGTAAAATTTTTGAAATTTCAAAAATTTTTTATATCTTATTTTAAGGTCATGGTACAATGTTAATTTTGAAAAAGAAAGCTCCCATAATTTCTGATCAAGTCCCAATTTAATTTTCGATTTAATACATAGGTTATATGTTTCTCTGAAGGTTTTCATAAATAGCTCCAAGAATAAGTCATTTCTCTAAATCTTTTCAGGCCGTCTGAAACAGCAGAAATCATTGGAATCGGAAAAGATATCTCTCAGCGTGGCTCTTCACAATGCACAAGTTGTAAATTTTTATGATATTTCTTAAACACTTTCATAGCATTAATGGTAAGGGAATTACGAAAAGTTATTTCGGTAGATTTAGTAAGGATTGGCCTTAATATTTTTATCTTGCTGTATTTTTTAATTAATGTTTTTCTTTTTTATTATAATTAAAGTTTATAGTTTTTCAAAAGCTATGTTTTTAGGAAAGAGAACAACTGATAAATGCTTTAACAGATCTCCGGAAGCGAGGCAATGTAGAACGGTCAAAACGGGGAGAGATTGAAAAGAGATATTGTGAGACGATAAAGACTTATCGCAATGTAAGCTTATAATTTACTACATATGTTATTCAAAAGGATAAGTCTTCATTTCTGTTCATTCATTTCTGTATTTTACTATAGTTTGCTTTGGCTTCCAATTTTTGAGTGTAGAAAATTCTATTAATTAAGGAGGCAGACCATTACTTGGCTCTTCTAACGAATTTGAAACTGAAGATGGAATCTATGGTTGAAAGCAACAATCATCGACAGGTTGAATTAGAAGTATATAAAAGAAGGTATGACTTTCCCACTTTGATAAAAGCTACAACATTTAGCAAATTTCCAATTTTTATCAGCAAATTCAACTCCTACTCAGTAGAAAATAATCATTGTTTTTGCAATTGAAACTGGAGCAGTTTCAGATCATTGTCAACCTTCTTGACCTTCAATATTTTACATGTTATTTTTAAATTCTTTTTAGCTTTTTTGAAAATCAAAGTTTTCTGTTTCTGATGCTTTGGTTTACCTTTCTCCTCCAGTTCTATAATTTGTTCAAATTGCGATTATTATGTCCTGTTACTGTCTGGCCTCTTTTTTCAAACCCTGTTTGTTCTCGTTATCTTGATTCTTCAAAAAAATATGTGCATAGTTCGGATCTTTATGAATTCGGGTTCCATTTAGCGGTATCCAAGATTCGCCATTTAAATGAAAGGGAGAAGATCATGACTGTTAGATACTTGTTTTAAGAAAATAAAGAAAATTAGTTAGTGTTCAATGTGTTAATCATCCCACTTCAGAATTGATATAATGTAGTTATATAGATTTTGAAACGAATTTTTTCAA